CGATTTAAAGCGAAATCGAGTATATTTTCAGACGTGAAAGCTGAGCTTTATGTATATCGACCGATCTTCGGGCTGATTTGTGTCAAACAAACCTGTCTTTGTGGAATACGTGCAATAATAAAATTATATAGAAACGTCGGAGTTTAACGGTCCGAGGGAGGCGAAATTCGTAAAAAACACTTAAGAGTTAATCAAACATGAGGTTGCCAATGATATTGATTATCGTAAACTGTTATTGTATTAAAATGACGATTAAGCTATCAAAATACAGTTAAGGCCGATTATCGGCACTACTTCAAAAGGCTTCGTCGACAATTAAGGCTAAATCTGGAGTAGTTGTTTTGCTAATCAGTCGCTTATCTTAAATCAGATGAGGCCTAAGTAGCGAATTTACGGTTGTCTGATATAAAACACTCAAATATTTGCTTAAAGAAGATTAAGAAACGGCTGAATAAGAATCCAGTAAGATGTCAAAAAACGTATTTGTCTTCTAAATATTGGGATCTACCTGCCAAGTTAATACATTGTTTCGTAGCACGGTTTAGTTATGTAATTATTTTTGTATAAATTCCACTGTTTACTGCTCTTTATAAACATTAATCCTTATCACCAACTAAACTCACCATATTTAGTTTGGCCTTTGTTTTTTGTGAATTAAATTTATTGTAAGATTACTGATCTTATAAAAAGGTGTTAGCTCAACTGGGACTATTAATTTTGATGGATGGTTAAGGCCAGGTAAAATCTTCTAGTCCGAAACTATCTCTGGATAATCCGCTTACTGCGCCGTCGACAGGGAGGCACATTCTTGTTTCGAATCTAACCTGAACCTTGCATCCGAGCTTAAATTGATATGGCTTCAAATACGACTTCTAATAGTAGCACTCTTATAATATTTCACGTTTAATATTCAATAAAAACTTATCTGTCTACACAATTTCCAGTCAAAAATTTTAATTTAAACAACTTGAAGATAAAATATACAGCTTCACTAATATTTGTTGTACAAATAACTCGCAATCGTGGCAAGAATCAACTATTACATAAAAAAACTTGTCGCTTCTAATTTATATTCACTTCCCCGCGACACGGCACATTTACACTGCGAAACTATACATTCATTTAAAAGACCTGAATATTTTGACCAAATGATTTACTTCGTTTATCCGACATTCCTTTTACGCCTGATAGCAAAATATAACCAATTAGTTTCTTACGGCTCAGAAGCAAAAACTCGCTAAAGCAATATTTAATGTATTTTGACACAAGAACTTTAATGTGCTGCTCTAGAATATCCATCATATTTCAAATAATATTAACTACTGGGTCTTTTTACTCAGCTAACACAGAAAAATTATTAATAACGATTTGTCAGTGTTACGTGGAAAAAAATGGCTTCAGATTTAAATAAGTGAGTCTCTTGTGGCGTAAATAATCACAAAATTCCAGAAAAATTTGATACTAGTAGGTCAGGTGATATATATTGATATCGGTATCCTTGCGATAACAAATCTTGTAAGTAAAAATTTTCTTTTTTCTTCGTCCATTTTTTTAAGATCTGTCGTATTTTTTCTTCTTTGTTCTTCCTCACAAAACTTGATACACAAAAACCGTCACTCTACTTATACTAAGTACAACAAACTACACTTATTTGTAAGTGATAAAACAGATTTGAAGGGCATTTTCAGTTTTTAAAAACTTTATCGAAAGTAATCTTCTTTAATAAACAGTATGTTGACGATATCAACAACAGTGTAAGCTACCTTTACAAATTGTATTTGTGCTTCTGTTTATTGACTTTTAACAATTTCTAATTTTAGACACCAAACACTAAATACATAAATAAATCCAACAGAAGTAAAGCGACGAGCAAGGATATTTTGTCAGTGTGTTCTGATAATTTAAAAAAAAGTTATTTTGTTTCAAAAATTAAAAGAAACTTGTCACTGCATTGTTTAACCAACAAAATCTCAACTTCCGGCATAACCAACCTATCAGATACTTCGTACATCCTATATTAAAAAATACAATAAAAAATATGTACATAATTTATCATTTTACATGTGAAATGATTGTCACATTTGCATGGCATGGTGAAATTATACTTCAAAAAGTCTTACACATATTCACGAAATTATAAAACAAAATAACGAAAAAGCGAAAATAAATAATAAATAAAATAAATTTTGATAATTTCAATAACAGAAAGAAATTGGTGCATAGACGATGGACTTCGGACTCATTAAACATGGGCCGAAGATGCGGTCCGTGTCTTTAGTCACGTCTTCCGTGCGTTCGGCAGTTTTCGTTTTCATTAAATACGGTTAAGTAAGTCGCTCGTGCTAAATAAACTTGTGACTAAAAACCCGGTTATAAAACTTGTTAGTTAATATACTCTAAAAATTTTGTTGTGTGCTTGTAATCTCACCATGGCATGTTTTTAAATGGAATGACAAATTTTTTAACAACATTACTAAAGTCAATTCCTCAGTGATTTTCTGTTCATTTACACTAACCGTCATAAAAAATCATAAAAAAGTTTATTCTATTACACAGTGACTTTGATAAATAAGTTATCGATTTGAAAAAAAAAGCAAGTCAATCATTTCCACCATTCGAGCATTATTTTTACGCGAATGAAAACTTATTTTTTCTTAAAAATTTTGATAAACCAACAATGTTATTTCTTTCTCTTAGTAAAGTGGTTCTAGAAACAGGTGAAAATAGTGCAATTTCTTTTATTGCTCTAACAATGCTTTTGTAAGTGCATTTATGTCCCATTGTGAGAGCAATAAAATCAACCGTTTTTTCAAATATTTCTAGAACAACTTCAATACACAGTTTTACCACATGGGAGGTCGGAAACAAACTGACAGCGATATTGAGAAAAATTTTGTCGGTTTTGTGATGACTTGTCCGAAATTTTGAAAAGATATATAGACATAAAAAAAGAAAATAGTATCGCAGAGAATAACACCTAGCACAGAATAAAATTTAAAAAATCGTAACAATATTTACATGTATAGGAATTGGAAACTTCAAAAGATAATTATATTTACATTACATCGTAGTGTTAACATACGTATAGGGAATACCTGCACAAGCGTCAATTTATGAGTAACATAATTGACAACATTGCGTCTTCAGTGGATTATTTTGCATTAGCGTTTACCTCGAAAGTCAAGTTCAACAAAGAACGATAAAAATAGGAAAGTTTTAATTAGAACGCTAATAAACAAGACGAAACTTTTTTGAAAATTGTCAATTTCTCTCTTATAACCAAGAAGAATTTCCAAAAAATGTTTCTATATCTGAAAAAAAAATCCGTTTGTATGTATAAATCTTTTTGCTCTAGTTATTTAAGTGTTTATATGTTACCAATGCCTTTTTAAATTATTACAATAATATTTTCTCTGTTAACCTTCACTCAAAACACATTAGAAAAATATATTAGCAACAATGTTGTAAACTGTAAATTATCCAGACTGGATTAACTTGAAATACAGGAAAAATTCCTACATCTACTAGATCTACATAATTATAAACTGAACCATCATTCTATAAAAAAGGTAAATACAAATATGCAATGGTATGATTAAAATTAATAATTCCAGGTGTAATTTAATTTAATTATTATGGACTCCACGTGTTGTTATAGACAACGAAAGCGCTGGTACGCTGAACTATTACACCTAATTTACTTTAATAAGTTGCTTTTAAATTTTTATTACGAAAGACTTTTAGAGTTGTCACCTAATGTTGGGTTTTCATTACGAGTTAAGTCAGTCCGTTTCACCAAAATTCGTATGCAATTAATTAAGTTTGTTTAAATTAGCGAAATGTCAGTCTGTCAAAATAAACGAGTTATAGTTTGATGGCACCATTTTCAAAATTCGATAACACTGTGTTAATTGTTGGACGAGTTTCGTGTTCGTAAAAAAATACATTTTAGAAATCCTAAAAAGTGCGTTTAAACCGCTCGCTCTAGTAGAATTATACTTTCAATTTGGCTCGGAGACGTAATACCTTGGAGTCTAGTCAACATTTAAATTTCTTCCCATTTTGATGAAGTGTTTTCAATTTGTATTTTCTTTCTACGTTCGTGTTCTCCGAGCCGTTACCACGCTAGGTAGGTATATAGTAGTTTTTTCTTTTTTTAATATTGGTATGATTTAAACGGTCATGAATACATTATCGTTATACGATGCAGTTGGCGAATTTCGTAATGTGTCTAAGATCGGGGATTCGTATGAGCGATTTTGGAAGTGTAGGTACGTTCGAGTGGTTATCAATTTTTCAATATGCCGTGCATGTTCGTGGCATATGTAAATTGCGATTAGATAAAATTGGCACGATTGTATCTGTACGGTTGGAAGTACAGCACTCAAGTTATAAAATTATCATAGAAAAACCATAACGTTCCAAAAAGACGCAGTCCTCACATTCTCCGGAGCAGAATATTCCGGCGCATGTGGGACCCGTCGTGTGCATCACATTACAGCCGTTTATTTTATTTTATGCGGAAATCTGTAGGGATGAATAATTTGCTTGAACCCTTTGTTGCGGGTGGGACATACCTCCGTTCAGAACCGCCTATCCCGACGCTCGAACTCCGCCTACACACCTATTCATTTGAGCGTCTCGACGCTCCTCCGGCCGTGGGCGCAGGCGCCCGTCCGGCTGAAAGTTTCGAAGAAACCGGCATCCACGTCGTCGAAAAAGCGCGACGACCTGGACGCCGGGGCCGGCGGCGGGCGCCGCTTCCCGGACGTCCGCGTCGTCGAGGGCCCGTTCCGGCGCCTCGGCGCCGCGGCGGACTGGTTGGCCGGTGGGCCGGGCGCGTCATTAAGAAAAAGTGCGAGTTGATCGTTTTTTGAGGGCATAAGCCGTTTGCGCGGTGAGCGCATGCAAGGGGTGGCGCGTTTCTACCCCGTCTTAGTTCGCACCGCCGCCACTCGCGCCCGCCGACTCCGGAGCCAGTCGTTAGTCGTTGCCGGGCGTTCACGTCGACCGGCTGCCGCGTCGCTGCCGGCTCCGAGCGCTCAGTCACGTTGCCGCTCACGCTCGTCATGCTCACGCCGCTCTAATCGGTCCGCGAAAATTCGAACCTATGACGATGGACTTTCAGAGTGCCATGGAGACTTTCGCTGAAGCCTGGGTCGCCGCCAACGCCAAGGGTGCTCCACTAGCCGACGTCGCCACGCAGGTACATTCCGCCCGAGTCCAGCCGCTAATTAGCGAATTAGCGGGATCGCATGCCGACCGCCGAGGTGGATGCGTTGCCAATTAAGGGTTCTTGCGTGCACTTGCACGCGCGTAAAAACGATTATTTATTAACGTCGTTAAATTCGCGATCGCCCGCCGAATATTCGCCGCTCGTTAATCTGCCCATCCGCCGCTGAATAATCATTACGGCCCGGATTCGATCTGTTTCCCGGAATATCCCGTTAATCCCGGATTTAGCAAATGCCGGATTAGCCGAGCGGGATAAAAGTGCCGATCGGGAATCGATAAAATTGATGGCCCTCATCCTAGTACGCCCGTTTTGATGTTCGCGAAAATTACAAAAAAAAAAAAAAATTGTACCACGAGTCGGGAGCGAAATACGACTCGGGTCACTCAATATGTATCATAATTATTTTTACTTTGATTTTAATTAGGTGGTAATGGCAAACAAGTTAGAATAGGCTTAATTAAGACGTCATTGCTAGTTATTTATACATTACAATGTATGACCTGCATGTTGTATAATTTGTGAAGATATTATTCCTCATTTATTTATAATTACCAGTGCATTAACGTATTCTGCACGCTTTATTTAAAAACGATTTTTGTCAAAGCTGATTGGGAGTTATGCAAAGTGTGCGCTGTTGCGGATGGGATTTTAATTGGTTGCTGAGATACGTATGAACAAGGTTTTTTGTAATGATTATACGCTCCATTATCAGTTTGTTTTTAAATGTTTTATTAGATTATAAATCAAAAACTCGTAGGGATATATCACGAGATAAACTAACAAATTTCATACAGTAGAAGAAACTTGGCAAAAATATCACGACACTACGTACGTCCCAAATGGTGTAATAAAACTGTGATCACTACAAGTTTACAATCACATTGTTACAGCTAATCACATTAGAAATAACCTGCTCTTGCATTACCAATATCACTAACAGTATTAGGCGCCGACTAAAAAATGTTTTGTTTTGCTGTTATAATAGACATTCCCATTGTGAATTTTACCTGAATCAGGTACCTGGGAGGGACCGGACCCATAAGGTTGTCATTAAATAAAGCATTAACTTTATGACTAATAGGTTTACACTAATCGTTTTCTTTCCCTAATCTCGTAGAGCATCGGAGCCGGCGACTTCCACAATTTAAAAATACTTTACAACTGGTTTCTAAATGGTTTTCAAATAAAATTCGCCGTTATCTTCTATGGGCGATTGTAAATTTTATAATAGTAAACTTTTCCGGTTTTATTGCCTTCCTTCCTTTCCGAGGGCCGATAAGTTTCGTCCTTAATCCGGGTTGACCGGTAATGGGGATTACAGCTCACCTTGAAACTTTAAAGCTTCGACGTATACCTGCTTTTTAGATTTTTGTTTTACAACGTCTTGCATTAATTGGCAGTCAAAATACGAATCAAGTGGCCGCTTTTAAATAACTATTTATTCGATAAAGTTTACACGATAAATCCCTGCCGTGTTTGTTATCCAATATACAAAACCGTGATTTAGTAAATATTAACTGAGAGATAAAAATTGTTTTTAAGGGCCTAATCACCGCCGCGTTATTGATTATCGCGCTAATACGCTTTCGATGCGAATTTAATAACATTTTTTAACGCACCGCCCGATTTCCAGAAACACATAAGACGTGCTAGTGTCATCTTGGATGAATTCGTTACCAGCTGCTTAGATTAATAATAACTAAATCCACTTCGATAAGATAGTAAAGTACGCGCTCTGTTCGGCGCCGCGCACGAAATCGTCATAAATAAATAATAAAATTGTTCCCTGTAAGCAAACCGTTTTATTAGTATCGTGAAAGCGAGGGTGGTTTGAATAGGGTGCTACAGGTGGGAAACACAGGTAAAAACATCATGTCCTTCCGGGCGTTACACATGAAAGGTTGCACCGGTCCTCTCGTACCGGTCATTCCACGAAATTATATTTTAAAACAGGACTACCGTGTCAATTGCCTCATATTTATATCCCTTTAAACTGGTTGTACGTAGTTAATTTATTTGGGTACGTATAACGCATTAATTAGCACTGATACGTCGTCGAGACCCCGACAATAAAACACAATTGTCAGGTGTTAGCGTTGCGTTTCCGAAGCTTTCATGTCGCTTGCGACTTTTTATAAATAGCATAAACTACGAGCTTTCGTCTTCCGGTGCAGAACGATGTGAGGTCAGTTGCGGGAAGAACGGTCGTAATTTTGTGGCACATGAAAGGGTTATAGAAATGTTTTTAGTTTTTTGTTTAGAGTTTTCCTCGAAAACGGTTTTATTGTCGCCAGTCGTTTTTTTTTTAATTATTTAATATTGCAATTTGTGATCCTGCGACGTTGCATTCTCTCGGAGGAAGAATTTACGATTTTTCTTTGGGTCAATGTTGAAAACGAATAGCGCGAAAGCTATAAAAAGCTCACTGTGACAACGACTGATAATCCAGAATTTTTTTGAAATTGGAACGGATTTGTTAACATTGGTGTGGTAGTTTGAAATTATTTGTCCAAGCAATTGCGACAAACAAAGCGGCGGAAACATGAAACATGTGTTTTCGTAGTCTACGAGCTGTGAAGTGGCAAGAAAGCATGTATGTATGTAACGAGACGTTTATAAAAAGTCCCCATTACAAATACTCCTTTTAGCTATTTGGAAAGTAAACAGTGTGAAATTGTTCGTAATAGCCAAAATTTCAAAAATGTTAACAAAACAAAATTTACCTTTGAAATATTTTTTTATGAAAGTTGTGACGAAAGTCCGTACTGACAGAAGAACATCCAACAAAAAAATCTTTTAATAACTAAGTTAATTTTTTTAATTTTGAGCGGCATCTAGATCCCTTTATTCTATTAGATCGGATGCTGGCGTGTGCATAAATTACTTTCGTTTATTAAATTGCTGCAGTGGAGCCTACGTATTTTTTAATGAAGCAAATTACACTGTTTTAAATACAATGCGTGGAAAAAAATGTTTTTGCTAGAACTTCTGAATAAACTTATTTTTTGGAGTGATTTTAGTTTGGTTCGTTGCTTTTTCGATATTAAATTATTCATTTTAGTTTGTATGGGAAAATTAGAATAAAAAAATCGGATTCATTCAACACGCAAAACTGATGCCGTTTAATATGTAAGCTGTCCGTAATGCACCCATAACCGGATGTGTTAAAAAAATATAAAATTGGGCCTGGTCTCATTTTCCGTGCTTGCAACGGCGACAGACAGTGATATTTCAGTGCGCAGCACGTGCGTTTCCCCACTATTGCACTAATATTAAAAAGCAGAATTCTCAAAATTTTGATTGTTTTGTGGTAATTCTGTGTGTGCATCATTCAAAATGTCGCTAAAAAAAAATTGTATTACACGTTTCTACAGTTGCTTGTATCAAGTCAGCGTATAATTTGATTTCAGTAATCAAGAATACGAGTAATTTAATAAGTTAATTTTTCAACAAACTGATACTGTCTTCAATGTTTTGGAAAGTAAGTTCTTTTACAGATATTTTCAGAGCCAGTTGCAAACAATTTTAGGTAAATTACGCAAATTTATACGCAGTGAGCATCTTTTAACAAAATTTATGGAAAACTTGATATTGATACTTTACCGTCGAATTTGCCGAAATTCTTGATATTATATTTAATTAAATTCAAATTAGATTCATCACCTTCTCAAGTCATGAGCCACCCCGGAAACGGAACTGAATTAAAAAAATCCGTTTCTTTGAAAAATTATAAAATTGATTTTGCGATTTTTGTTTTGTGGTAACCTCTATAAAGTAAAAATCTAAAGGGAAAAAGTCCCCTCAGTAATAATAGCATGCTTAACTTCTAGTGTTTATGTTTATACTTCCAAAAACTCGACGATTAGCACGGTCAACGGATCAGAGACGACGGACAGCTCGGAAATCTTATTATTCTTTCCATTTTATTTATTTTCATAGTTATTGCCTTTTTCATTTATTTTTTACTTCATTTGTTGAAAATGTGCTATTAATTTCTCAAACTTCTGAAGCGATTACCTTCAATGTGGCTTGATATCACCATATAGGTGTTGGATGTTAATAAAAATTGGTCTATTAATTCCCTCCATGAAATCGATGACATCATTTTAATTAAACCTGGCCCCAAATGTACATAATCCTTGGCCTATTTTTAAATAATCCACCTTTGATTTTAACTATGTACTTTTCTAGAAAATTGGTTACATCACTTAGTAGTTAAATCTATTTTAAACCCATACTCTTAAATATTACTTTACTTATAATTTAATATTCCATCACCACTTACGCATATCTCAACAAAATTGATTAAAATATATTCTCACTCAAAAAATTAGGCACATCAAATATATAATTTCACGATTAGTTCATTCACTATATTCCGGAAAATGAAATAAATGTGTAAAGATTACGCCGACAGCTTGCAAAAGCCGGTATTGTTTGTGCTTCAACCGCAAGGAAGTTCGTTATAAATAACTTAGTATTTCTCTTTCTAAGCACTTTTTATTTCCCGAGCGGCAGCTAAGGAAGTATAGTACTCGAGTCCATCCAGTACGTTAAAAGTAGTCTCCCGTTTCCGTCTGTCTGTCTGGTGTTTGTATCCATTTTTATTAAACTAATCTCCGAAACTACTGGACCGATTGTTGTCAAATTTTTATCCATGTTGATGACTTCATTACAAATTTTTTATTGGTCAAATTAATAACGAGTCACCCCATTTCCTCGAAAGTGTGAAAAACACGTAATAATAATAATGATAAAATAAGAATTTTAATATTCAGAATATTTTGTTCGATTGTGGATTAATTAATAATTTTAGTTTTGTGTTTTGAGAAGACAAACGCATTTTTACGTAACGTTCTTTCGATGTATAAACATAAATAAATACTTCAGCGTCAGATTGCTCTTAGTGCTGAGGGGCAAGGGGGGTTATTTATGCCTCTCGTTTTTACTTTGTCAGCATGGTAAAGTGTTAATCAAAATTTCTCTGTTAAAAAAATTTATGACGTCATCTCAAAATTTTGCCGAATAAATTCTACCCAAAATGTGATGAGTTTTTACTTGTGACATTCATATTTTTTAATCAGGAACGGTTCACTCCATTTTCCCAGAAAATTTTAGTTTCATTGTACTTTAGGTGCGAGGACCAATTTTTTTGCTCGTATTTTAGTTTCACTTGTTGAATCTGTCGCTGCTCCTGAAAAACACTATCCTTAAACGCTGTATGTGTTTTTATATCAGAAATGCTTGTTCAAGCAATATTAGTTTTATAATGTGGAATATTATTGCAATATATTTGGTAATTAAAGTTGACCTCGACGTGCATAGGGATAATGCGCTAAATGAGACCACAAAACTATGATCTAGAGCTGTCACTATCATCAAATTATATTATTTCAGAAGTGGGCTTGCGTCAAGCTTATATTTTATAGTAATTGTTATTATATTTTCGGATAATACCTAATAATAACGCGTATTTTGGAATACAGCATCAATTTTAATCTATGTCGTTTGCAATTAATGTTGAATATTTTGCACAAATAATGTAATATTCTTCGATTATCTCAGTGCGTAATTACAATCTTTTAACCTTAGATTTTTTTTAAGTCTTAACTCTAAAACTAAACTGAACAATATTTACTTTCAAAAAAAAAATATATGGTGTGTCCATCGTATAAAAAATAAATAAAGAATTTACAAAGTTTTAAATACAACGTGAACATTTCCAATGTTCCAGAAAATTATTTTTTCAATACAGAAATACAAAATTTGAACAAGTTTTATACAAATAGATGTATGTATTTAAAAAAATTTTACATATTCAAAAAATTAAAATATAAGATAAATTTTATCGCAGATTCTTCGTTCATCGCCAACTTGTTTCCTATACAGACGACAATTTGCCAGTAGTTTTGAACAAACAATTGAAATAAAAGCATTTAGTGTTTATTCTTTCCCGCCAGAACTTTGATGACGTCATCTGATATAAATGATAATCTCTCTGAAACTGTTACAAACCTATACGTTGAGAAGTTATGATTAATATTTTTTTGAAAAATTTTTGATGTTTTTTTATTTTGAAAATATTTAGTTTGCAACCGTTGTCAAATTAGTTATGTATTTTCTATATCATTTCTAGTTTTCACGAACACATTTTTTCTGAAGTCATTAGATAGTAATTGATTCCGATTGTCAACAAACACGAATCCATTCTACAGTTCCAGTGGGCTTTGAATCTGATAGCAATTAACTAATAGAAACAAATAATCTCTATGGTATTTCACCGAACCAATAATACTCCTAATACATATTCGCTTGATTTTATCTTTTATCATCAACACAAAGCATTAAATCTGCACTTAAATCCGCTATAGTTTTTATTTTGTAGATATCATTCAGTGCATTTTATTATCATACAGATTATTGTTTGCATTACAAATAGCCACATTCTTGTAAAGTACATACATTATAGTCTAGAAAATAACATAAATTATACAAAAGAAATAAAACTTTTGTAAGGAGATGCATCTGTCGTCACAGTTCATAAACTTATGTCACTGACAAGTGGAAAGTCGAAAGTTATTGACAGCGTCGTCACGTAATTTTGCGATTTATTGACAGTTGATATGAAATCGTCCAGTTCCGAACATCACTTACATTTTTATCACAACTACGATAAAAGCTAAGTTTAATGTGAATTTGAGCGGTATCCGAAGATAGTCACATGTCACCGGCGCATAGAGTTTTGTGCATACATTTGTAAAGTTTTTAAAATTTTGATGTCTTGCTACCATTCAATAATGTTATAGAACAATATAAAACACAGAAATTGCATAAGTATGAATAATTAAGTAAGTTTTTCTCGCAACCACATTTTCTTGTTTCTTTGACGTTTCTCTCACTTTCCCGCATCCGTTTCACCAGAAGCAAGAGAAATTTTGAACGAATCCCGCCGATACAAAAATTTTCAGAATGATAGAATATTCTAGTACCACTTCCAGTTAGCCTAATTGGATAAGTATATTCCGGTCATGATGGGTATATCTTGAAGTAGAGCATTTAAGGGAGAAGTCAATTGTGATGAATGGATGGTGGTCGGCTGATGGCCGGTGCATTAATGCGGCTGAAGGCAGTGGCACATCGTTAAACTGGACGGCGCGGTGTAGTAGTAAGGAGAAGAGTGCAGGGTGCATCATAATGGGCTAGAAGATCGAAACATTGAGAGAGTACCATCACCATCGGCAGTAACCCTGTGCAGTTTCGGCAGCCACGATAGTCTGCCAGGTCGATGCTCCTATTCTGGCCCTGCATACTTACACAACTGCTGGCACTTTTTGCGCACTGTTTCGTAGAAGTTAAGCTATAGCCGTCCTGTCACTCACTCTTGTACCAAAAATGAACCAGATTCCTTACGTCTGCAATCTGATTTTCGCCACCACTACAGCGACTGTGCGCAGCAATTCTCACACCGATTCATGTATTATTTTCCAGTACAACTTTTGGTTAATATCGACTATGCAGAAAAATCATTTTTAGGTTAGAATTAGTCCGCCAACCGCGAGAATGTCTAGTTTTCCAGACTAATACACACATCGACGCTCCACCGATTAAAGGAATAATCCTAGTAATGCGATTTTCACACATACTACCGCTTAAGACGTTAGACGGTAAAGTTACACCGTCCCAATGTGGCCTGGCCTACTATGCCCGAAATTGTTATTCGTATCGATAGAATTTCATGCCACAAACTACAAACAATCGTCTTTTTTGTGTTTTCTTAGATTTTAATAACTTTCATCATAACTTCACAGACGGTTTATTCCATGATATTGTTTAATTTTTGTCCGCCAGAGAAACGTTAGGTCAGTAAAAAATTCTTTCAATTGGCAGTTAGTAGAAAAGGTCAATATCCAGACACTTCGCGTAGTCCTGACCCAAATCTAGTCAAGCATGTCGGGTGTGATTGAGGGAAAACACTGGCGTGTTGTTCAATTCCTTTTGACCTTGGCAAGGATAAAAAGATAAATGGTTTGATGGATTTTTTGGGGAAACGTGTGAGGCAAAAGTTGTTTTGTATCATAAGTGTGTGGGTTGGTTGTTTACGAGGGTCGTGTGTTCATGACTACTAATTCGGAGGAAATTAGGCTCAGGCTTGAATGCGAACCCTTCGCTGATTAATTCACTATTAGTTGCACCAATGCAGCCTGTATGCTCCCCGACGGTTGCGTATCTCGCGACATAAAACTGTCACCTTAATAACGCGTACACGTACGACACCTGTAGGTTTATAAACTGACGTTTATACAATTCTGATTCGCCGCACTAATTAAGTCTTATCTTCAACAAAAATTGTATTATTTAGGAAAGGTGAAGCGGAATAAGTTTACTATCACTATTATTATTGTTGGTTATCCACGACGGATTAGCGGATTCCATGGATTGAAGGCATTAAAACTGTTTTACTTTTTTGTGAACTGCAAAATTCTATTACCTTTTTCATTAATCTGTGGTTGATGATTCTGTTATTAAAATCTGTAACTTGTGTATATCAGATTACGTTTCTCATTTAAATTTATTTTAAGACTCGACAAGGAGACAGCACGAACTGACCCTTCACCTATTTAAAAAATACGTGGCTCAAATTGTAGTTAACGTAGGTGCAAGGTTTTCTCTTAATAATTTTGACACGGTAGAAAACAAAATGAATGTTAATTTTTTCCCAAAAATATATTGTTGCAGAAATTAAGAGAGATAGAACTGTGTTAGGCGATTACCATACCGATTGCAAGAAGTCTGATGGTTGTAATGTACATTAGAGCCGTAGAGGTTTTTGTTTTTAAATTAACGCGGATTAGAAATTGCAGGGGAGATTTATTTGAGCAAGTAATGATGGAGTGGTAGAAGTTCATGAGCTTATTTAATTCTGAAGACTGAGAATACGGCTTAAAAAACCGGCACACAAATGCTTGTTATATGCGGATTAAGGGAATTATGAGTCATGCAGATTTAGTTAGATCTTCTTAGATCTGAGTCGGCTGTTTTGTAGAAAGTGCATTGGTTAGGGGAGAAGAATGAGCGCGATAGGGTTATCGAGGCCCCTCATTTCTCTCCAGTGGTGGCTTGTCGAACGTCTGACAAATATAACGTTCAGGAATTCAGATGCTTTTTGACCCCACTTAACCCAGATTAAACGCGGTCGCAATAGACTAGTCAACCGGCCAGATTTGTACGTTGTTCATGCAAGAGTTAATCGTTTGATTTATTTGTTGTAGAGCCAGGCGTTAGCGCTGACGAGGACCTGCAAAACTCCGTCTCCTCCGAGCACGACTCCCGCCGCCACCGGCCGCTCCAGCCGGGAATCCGCGGAGCGCGTCGCCACCCCCACGCAGCCCCGCACGCCTCCGGAGAGCACCGTGTCCCCGCCGTCCGTCAAAGAGGAGTTCGACGCGGCCAAGACCTCGACAGGTAGGGGCACGCGAATTAAGCCGGACAGACGCGTACGGTGAGCATTTTCCCGTGAGACGAGTCAACGCTACCGTGGTTCGCAAAACGCAGGGACCAGCACGCGGTAGACGATCGCCAAAGGGTTCACTCGCGGGGTGGGAGAACCGTGTCTTTGATCCTGCACTTTTCTAACAGGTTGACGGTGTCTCGGCCGAAAATGTTCAGCGTACGTGGGCTAAGAATCGCCGCCGCGCTAGGCGGCTTATCCGCGCCCGGCGAGGTTACCGGCCGCCGCCCTTCGCCCCGCTCGTCGGTCGGATTGAAGCGGATTGTGCGGCGTTAAGCAGATTATCTGCTCATGATTGATGAAACGGCTGCAGCCCGGTACACCCCGACCCAAAAACATTCAGCGGTCGGATCAGGTATGCAGTCTGCCCATATGCCATACAGACACATCGACGGGATAGTAGCGAGCCGACTAGCAATGGTAGGCCAGTTAAAGCTGGATTAAGCTGAAGGTAGGGAATTAGAGGAAGCTGGGATTAGAGGGACTCTGGCCTCCTCCTGCTTCGAGACGGGAAGTAGGGGATTAAGCCCGCGCAGGATTAACATTCACGAGGGATCAAATATAAAAGAAAAATTGAAAACATAACACTCAAATTTATTACTAATGCTTCCATGCAACGTTCCATCTATTCACTCACCTACATTTACCTCACACAACGCATTTCAACACTTTTAAATCGTACGAACTCACGCTATTCATACACCACTACCTTCACAACAGTTCCTAAAACTTTACATTAGTTTACATGAATACAAACGCTCTTTCTCAATTCGCTTACGTTATTTACAAACAAAAAAATACTCCTTAAACACGACCAAAATCACCGCTGCTCGTAAAATTTTTCAACAAAATTCTTGCATCTCTTGATCACTTAAGATTACTTATAGAGCTTCCAAGCTGATTTCGTCATTGAAGTAATCCAATCTATGCGAAATGACATTACCAATCACACCATGACTATCGATAAGATAAAAATAAATAAGACCGCCTTAGTCAAACTAATCCACATTCTATAAATATAAAGTTAATCAGATTCAACTTCTTAACTTAATATAGTCAAAATGCAAAACTTGCCGAATTACCATCAAAATAAAATTACAATATTTAAATTCGAATTTTTCAATCTACAAAAATATAAATTAGAAAAAAGAAAAAATTGAGTAATATTTGAAGAAAACACAGTTGGTTGTAAGTACTACCAAGTAAATATTAATTTTTTAATTGTCAGAACTCGTTGACAATTTGAATAAAAAGCAATATACATCTATAAACGATCTAGACTGTTTCTCTCTGTCTTTTGGGGAAATATTTTCATAGCAAAGCAAGTTTCAAAACACAAACATAAGTCGGTTTTTTACGGTTATTACGGATTAAACAAGCTTAGCGTGTTGCCAATGCTTTAACAACACCTGCAAATGTCAAAAACCAATTCAGCTGCAACGTTTAGGGTATTTATTCAGCATAAAGCGGGTTTATCCCAAAATGCAGATTTAATATAGAAGAAACACAGTGATTTATCGCTGTAATGCTGAGTCGTATTTGCAATACGATAAATAATGGAGACATAGATTATTTATTACTTTATCCCATGAAAAAATCTTAACATTTCTGTACTGTCATTGTTTAAACCTCTTTATGTCACTAGAAAAGGTACAAGATTTATAACACACTTTTGATGCACATGACTCACACGTATCTTTGTTCTGGAATTTAATGTCATAATACACTAATAATAATAAAGCTTATCATTAGAATATTATTGATAATGCTAATGCGATATTCGGTTTAGTTTTGCTAATGATATAGGATATTTGTACTCAAAATGTTGAAAGCTCAGCAAACACGATTAATTGAATACACAAGATTTTTTAAGGTTCGTGTCAGAAACTGAAATTTTGACTTATACAAGTCGTCCAAGTCAAGTGCGCAAACGATTAACCATCACTGCAATTTTCAGTTGAGGAATACCCAATGATAACTAAAAATTCCAAAAACACACACATTTTCTTTACAAACTAACGACCTGTATGAGAAAAACCTGAACCCTCACTGAATAAAGAAATGTCATCGCTTACGGCAATGATAATTAATATTTCGCCAATTTAACTAATTTCCAAAGTCCGCTGCGGTTTCTCTCAGTTGTTCCAAGAATGAAACAGCGGCGTTCATTGAACACAACGGCAATCTTTTTCGGATTACGAGAAAAGCTGAAAAAGTGCGAGTGTAAAAAAGCTTTGTCTCTGTAAACACGAATGTGGTCTAATGAATAAAATTTAAGGAGCGAAGTCAGTGAAGCGTATGTTATATAAAACGTGCAGAAAGTAGTGCATTCCTGGAGAGCGACGATAACACGCACCAATGGCTAAACTTAATCCCTAGCCGAATTAATCCGTATATTATTGGGATTAGAGGAAGAAGCGAACAGGTTTGTAGTTGTATTCATAGTGGGCGCGTATGGCGTGCAGCCTCAACATATCGGCGGATTAGCGGTCCGTCTGATCCAGGCTTAGGTGTCGCCAAGGTGATCTGTCCTTTCTAGTCGCATCGCAATCTGCCAACCGGTATTATAACATCGAAACGAAATAATTAATCCCGGCTGTTGCAACGATCACATGAACGGGATATACAGGCTGAGGGACAGTGGCGGCCCGCCAGGGTAGGCAGAGCAGACCAGTAGGAGACCCTGCATACAGTTGATCTGGTTAATAGTTTGTTGTAAACAGCAACTCGGGCATTCATTGCATTTGTTAACAATAAGAAGGATACGTTAACTCCATCTTTTACGTGCGGGCCATGATCATCGTTATAGCAAAGCAAAAGCTGTAAGAATTAAGGACCATAAAGAGGATCATGCGCTTTCTATTTGGTGAAATTCCATCACAAGAAAAATTTTTGATAACTTGAGTTTGAAGCTTTTGCGAAAGCTCCGCTTTGATACCTGTTGTACAGTTTTATCCACAATAGCTAATACTGTTTCTTACGTTACCTTGTTAACTATTGTCGTACACATACTTGTATATTGTTTTCGAGCATATTCGGGCATTGTATGTTCCAGCATTGTCACGATTGTATTTTTTTAAACCCGGTGATTTTTCACAAAATGTTGGATTAAAGGCAGCAATGAAGGTCTAAATTCATTTGGCGACCCGTACACAACGCGAGCAGCCGCCACTGAGGGCTGTGGGAAGTGCACGTGGCCGGGTTTATCGGATCCAGCCTAATCCGGGCGAAAGCGATCTGCGATCGCCGGACTCGGCCGAAAGGAGACAGATGAGTGATTCGAGGAGATAAGCACGAGCCGGATTAGGACTGCATCGGCTGCATGTGCGTTGCATTCGCTCCGACTAAAACCAATGGATATTCGGCTCGAACACCGACTGGATTGAAGGGGATCAACAACGGAAACAGATAAACGTCCGGCGGGGAGCGCGGGCGGATTACCGACACTGTGATAGTGCACATCCGCCTTCGAAATGATATATTCATTAAGAATATTTCGTTGGCTTCGCCTCACATTTTCCTAAGTAGCCAATAAACGATCAAAGAAATAATTAACTTGCCTCACTTTACATTCGGTCGCGGTTGGGACGTTAACGTGATTATTAATTTATATGGCTTTTACCAAAAATCCGATTACGGACAGATTTTCTTTTGTTTCTCTTCATTTTTCAATGGGTTTCTTAAAATTAAATACCGCTGTAAGACGCTCTTCAAACGAACGCGAAGCAAAAAGCTGCCCCCAAATCTTTTATCCTAGACTTAAACCTCTCGGGAGGCAATGACTCCAAAAACTGCTTAAACAAAACTCGTATTTTAACAAGTCGAACATTTTTTATATACACATATAATGATTCCAAATTTACTGAAATCTTAACGACCAATAGACAGTAAAAATAATTCCGAATACTCATTGGAAAAATTTTTGGCGTTATCTGTAGATGGTGTGGTCTGAACTATGAATACAGTTAGTTGTCTTGTCATTATCTGCTATGTTCAAATCTCCACAGATGTTAATAATCTGTTCGATTTTCCTTTGAATAACATTTTTAGAAAAACCTATAATTTTACGCAGTTCTCAATCTCCGTGTTATCGTCGTCATTGAAATGAAAACTAAGCTAATTAATTAAATTGTTTTATTTCTTCCATTGTTTAATACTACAAATCTCAAGCATTTACATTGATTGTCCTTACATTTTTACTACATTCTTAGCTTAGACTTTGCTGCAGTTAGCATTATTTTCCTTGTTATGATGTCAACGTACACCACGAAATTGATTTTTGAAATGTAAATATTGGATACATATTTTTACTCCAATACTTGTTTTACTTTTTATGATTCTACACTCCTTTCTTAAATACGCATTGCACTTCAACTAAATTTAAATTTTGCAGCCCGCAGCGACCTTCTTCCGACACAATTTTATCGAATCTTCTACCTCTATCTGTTTCTTCATCTTCAATATCATTCATAAAATATTAATTTACTTATATTATTGCTCACATTTACTCTCGTCTTCACCATTTCATTATTAAACCCCATTGCCATACAGTTTCAGCATGTTTCTTTTATATCTTTATCCATGTTAATAATGATGTAATCCCACGTAACAGAGGAGGTCAAATAAACGTAAATTTTATGTCCATTTTGAACAAAATAAAGTCGACTCCATAGGACGCATCATTTTTGGTTCGGTATCCAGGTATTTGCAGAAAATATTCGCAAATATACTAAAGATGGATGTACAGTAGACGTACAGATGAATAGTGTAAGGACTGTGCGTCAGATGTACAGATTTATGCGGACTTTACTGGTCGTGAAATGGACGTCTGTGTACGTTGTACGTCCTTGTCACGTGGGTTCTTATTTTCCTTCTCTATTCTGTGTCATTTTACTTATTAAGATCCCGGAGAGACTCCGCCTGATGGTAGGGTTATTACTGATTTATTTTTCCCCTAAACAAAAAGATGTTTATCTAGACGAGCTTTGTACCAGACTATGGCGCTTTCGCTCAAAATAAATGATACGATTTCATGAACTCCGTAACAAGTGAAGTAGGTAACAAAGATTTTTTTTTACATAGGCGTTAACCTTTGTCTAACCAATTTCGTAAATCGTTTTTAGAGTGGTAGAGTTGCGCTCGGACGAGATTTTTTTTGACGTTTTCGTGACAGAATTATTGAAGATTTTACGCCCGATCCTAATTGATGTTTGATGGTCCACCATTCACCGCTGTGATGATTGTTCTAAAATATTCATTATACCGTTTTTTTTGCGTTTCGTATTATGACAGTTTGAAAGGTGAAAATGATTGGTGAATTTACACCTGTGCTGGCTGCGCTAGTGCGGAAATGCTATCGATAAAAGGAGTTCGTGCCATCAACAAGCGATAAACCTATATGACACTAGCGTCAGGATGCCACCTGTTGTTGATTAAAACAGGTCATGTGTCGCATGTATGTAGTTCAGTATTGGGCACGATAGACGGCAAGAGACGACGACCTAATTAATGTTATCAATGGTAGATTCTTTTTGAACTGGAGCGAATCTGTTTAAAACAGTGTGTGACTCTACTTCGAAGATGTTTCGCAATCCAAGTGGCTCCTTTAAATCCTTATCGCAAATCCAGCATGAAATCGTATTAGCGCGCTAGCAGAGCAGGGCAGAGGACTTATTGTAAACAGTATTGCGGGTTCGAAGACCCTTTCGCACTCTCTAAACTGAACTTTACAGCCCTTCCGCGCCTCCCACTGTCGACTCTTTACAAGTTGCGCGAATTAAAACTTTAGACTAACAAGACTTAAGCTAATAAGAAAATGGATAGAAATAAGCTGTTGTGTAAGACGCTTTGGCCTCAACGACGCGCGCTGTTCCGGACGTGTCGACGGACGTTAGCAGCACGTTAGGTAAATTCAGCGCTTGAGCCAGGTATGTAGAAAAAAAACACAACTTGCACAAAGGGAGTATAACAACGGATTAAAGTAAACAGTAAGAAACCTCAATCCGAAACAAGCCTGCTTTGTGAAAGCATTACGCGGAAGAAGATTTTTCGTAATCTCTAATGAGTGGCCGAACGAAATCCTGCGTGCTTGTAGGGAATATCACGTAAAAATGTGCTTATCTGAACAATAGACTAGTCGATTCTCTAGTTCACAGAGACGGAGTGAATACTTGTTGACATAATCCTGATTGCGGTGGCGGTAACTTGGCTAAACTTCGCGACAACAGCGCAATCACCGGTGCTGAAACTATATGTCGCGACGCGGCTTTCAATCGAATTTTTCAGTGCATTACTGAAGGCTGAAATGCAATTAGACAACTTGGTTAAATCTGGGCATACCGACGAAGGGTGGTTAGTGCGAGGCCTCGACGACGTTCCGTAACATAGTTATTAGAGTTGGCCTTATTATTTATAAGGTTGCATTATTGATCAGCCAGACTAGAACAAAGGACCGGAAGGCAATATGAACCCCAGTTAAGACGCTGGTCAGCCCGCCTGGATTAGAGCCGGTGGGATTAGCGACTAGTGGACTATACACAGCGCGGTAAGCCGACAGGATTAGGTCCGGGCCGGATCCTGCAGCCGGATCCCTGAGATTTAGAGCTGAGTCGTTCGCCGTTCGCCGCATCTGCATCGTAAGACCGACCAAAACACCGCCTTAATAAAACGAAAATAACACACCGACTTACAAATTAAGACCTTTAACTGTTTCATACTACCAACGTCATATAGTAGTAGCGTCCTTTGTGTGGCAGCCGTGTAAGTAAGCTCAAGTCGAGCCAACTAATCCTTAAGACGCGCGGCTAGGTCTAGGTTGCTCCAGTTAAAGCTCTGTAATATGCAGAAACCTTCTTAACCTAACAAGATTAGCATAGACAGGGCGACCAGCAGGCCTAATACCGCCTCATCTTGGTTTATTACTTGCTACCGGTGCCTTCTATTACCGCAACTTTAATTCTGACCCGGTCGATGATCACCTCTGCTAAGTGCGTTATCGAGACTTAACGCATTTCAAACGCGCACAGGAAAACCGAACAAACTTTGTCATCTTTTAAGGTGAAAAGGAAATGAAGAAATCTTTACTATACCGCTACATTAACTGTCATCTCTACCCTGCTATCAATTGATCTGTCTGTCTTTCTTATCACTGGATACTTTTCCGCTTTACACGTTCCCATTAAATTCGCTATGGCTGAGGAGATTCCGCCCTTCCAGTATCGCGCGATCATCTGCCGTGTTGCTCTGCACTCTAACTGCTTCTGCTTACGTATTTATCTCTCCATCACGCCGAACACTTTTTAACTTTGACACTGACAGCTAACGGATCATTTGCCAACTTCACCAAGATACGAATAACTTGGAAATTGTAGTCCCTATCTTCTTACACCCCGTAGTCGTTCTTTTCATTGTAAGTAATTAATTAATTATTGTGTTTCAGCTAAGTCGCTGCCCGTTCATTGTATCGTCGAAGCGATTTGTACCTTGGAAGAAAACCGTTCCTTGCAACATAATGCTTGGAGACGAAGACCTATGGTCGAAACCGATAGCTACGTTATAATTCCTGTTGGAACTCCCTTTCATAGCCTTGTGCAAGCCGCCCTGCTTCGATTAGGCTATTCCGCTGACAGTGCAGCTGCCGCGAAAGGTTCCGTTATTATCAAAAATTGGAAGGCACTTAATTTTGAGCAAATATCTGATGATCCTCTGGTAACAGTCGGTGACATATTAGGAGAATTAACCACGATAGCTACGCTCAGAATCCAAGTATTTCGAGGAAGACCTGGAACGATAACTGACATTAAGGATAAACTTCTACGTTTCCTGCTTCTGCAATCACACGGACTGCTAATCTCTTCTGGATGTCCTCTCGATGAGGTACGTATACACCGTTCGGATTTGTTTATACCTTGTTTTGCCTATGCTAAAACAGGAATCTTGCTTTTCGAAGGAGAGCGGTTATGAGGCGCGCGTCTTAAGAATTAAACGGGAATGAATGTATTAAGGGTGCAGAGAATAGCAGTAACCTCGCTTTTAATAAGATTATGTAGCATTATTTCATGGTATTAATGAGATCAAAAGCCTTCTACATCCTACAGCACAGAGTAGATCTGAGCCCCACCCTACCAACAATGTCGTTTCTCTTCTTCAATTGATAAAATACAACAAACACTTACGGTGGGGTGAGTCGTGTTTAGAACCCAGTTCTATTTATTAGGGACGGATTATAGACGTGCAGTGCTCATTCACTGAATTTAGTGGCTCCTGATCCTTGTCCACAAAGCGAGATTCTGATTCAAAAATAAGTACAACGCCAGAAAGCGCTCGGCTAACGACGGCTTATAAATCATAACACTTGCGCCTTTCATTTGAATGTAGCTGAACCTAAGATAAATCCGGGAAAACATGGCTTCGAACGTCTGCTGTTAAGTACCCTAATCTCACCCTAAAAACCCATATGCAAAGACTTGCTTAAATTTACATTTAATATAAACTCAAACATCGCTCATAATTATATCGTATTTCGTACTTACCCTTAAATCTACCACTAATATGACCAAATCTCACAATAACGACATCGTTCTTTATTTTTTTTTGCGTTTTTATTTTTTCAGATCATCCTCTCCCAAATATGTCGCACGTCACCAAATTGCCCACCGTTACCCGAAATATCCGAAGAAATTCGACGAAAATTCGACCAGTGGTGGGCAACTCAATTCAGTCCCCAATCTCCTGCGGGAAGGTCCCAGTTTGGAGGTCCGTTTCCCAGCCAATATTCTGTTCCTCCGCAGGCATCAAAAGCAACCGAACGGTCGTTGTCAGAATCTGGACACCCGGCCATGCAAACAGTTCATAATCAATTCCCCACTCAAAAAACTCGAATGCGCACTAGTTTTGATCCTGAGTTAGAATTACCTAAGCTACAACGTTGGTTTACGGAAAATCAACATCCCAGCCGCCAGCAAATACAGCAGTATGTAAAGGAGCTGAACGGTCTTGAATCTAGACGCGGCCGCAAACCTCTGGACGTCAACAATGTCGTTTATTGGTTTAAGAACGCAAGAGCTGCCCAAAAACGCGCAGAAATAAGAAACGTGACTCCCGGATTATCCTGTCACCTCGCTGTAAATGGTTACAGCAATCACAGCCCAACCAATGGCACGGGCTTTTTAATTTCTGATGGTTACTTAAACTCGGAAAGGTTGACCGATCACAGATTGAAAAATAATTTATCAGTTCGGAGGGGTCCGCAAGCTTCGCATACTTCGGACGAATTTTCGAACGCGGGATCTGATTTAGAAGATGAAGATATGAGCGAAGTTCAACCTTCTAGTCCTTCGGTGCCACTTTCGCTGACAACCACACGCAAACACGACTCCAGAGAGAACAGTCCTCGACCGTCGACTCCTCCACCTCCTCCCAACATCCAAGTCAGTATATGGATATCTTCACTAATATTTGCAATATTATTCTAGTAATTTGTTTCAGGGCGACTTATGTAAAGTCGAACCCAAAGAAGAACCGATCAACTACCACTCGCCCGGCGACCACATAAACAACAATAAAATCAACCTTTCTGATATGGAGGAGGACGATCTTGAAACAGAACATGATAATAAAAGTCATTTTGACGGGAGCAATTTGACTTCGCCGGCAAGTAGACAAATAACTCAGCGTTACTCCAATTCTCCTGATGTAGATACTTCCCTGCTGTCACGCACTCCAAGTGATGGTATAGAACGATTAGCGGCTGGTTTTCCTCTTGTGCCAAATTCTATGTTTAGTCATAGTATAATGTATATGAGTCATTATATCCCTGGTTTGTCTCACACTGCAACGTCACCTCCTGGTTCTAGCGCTTTAGGAATGTCAAATCTGACGGCAGACGAACGTCGAAAACGTAACCGTACCTTTATAGATCCTGTTACTGAAGTACCGAGATTAGAGCAGTGGTTCTCCCTCAACACCCACCCATCTCATAATTTGATATTAAAATATACTGAAGAGTTGAACTGTATGCCTTATCGCCAAAAATTTCCACGCTTAGAACCAAAGAACGTTCAGTTTTGGTTTAAAAATCGTAGAGCTAAATGCAAAAGGTTGAAGATGTCGCTTTTCGACAGTCAGACGACGGGACAATATCACCACAGCGAGCGAGATTAGAATTTTCTTTTCACTGATATTCATGGTGTGATTTCTAACCTGTACTTAGACTGGTATCCTGATTTTCGTTGAATAGGTAATCAATAAAATTTTTAATAGGGGTAAGGCAACTTGGTATAGACAATAAAACGTTTGCTCTCTTATTGTCTATCTGAAACAAGTGGACGGTCAGAAATTGACGAACCTCGTTCTTACCTGAATACTCGTTGGTTTTAAATTTTTCTTTATGTATGCAACCAGTATTACGTTGTTAGTATGCTTGTAATGGTACTTGCGCGAACGCGATTCAAAGCAGTTGCAGGTACGACCCTTTTTAAAAATTTTATAATATATGTTGAATGATAATAATTGTACCAAAGATTGTTAATAAATTTGTATTATTGTAAACGAGAAGATTCGTTTTGTTGATAATAAAGACATGATTGTACAACATGCCATGTTACTTCCTTTTCTGTATCTTAATAATTGTCGTGTTGTAGCCAGTGGCCATGTCTATGTGAACGCAGTGTATTAAAATAAATACTCCATAATGTTTTCTTTACGCAGTTTATGTTTTTTATTACCTATAAAATATGTATGTAAATAAAAATAAATTTTTCCCATAATGTGAGGTTTTATTTATTGTTATAACAATTTACCCGAAGATCGTTTTTACGCGAGGATCTAATTGAAGTTAGTTGCCGTTATCTATTTTCTATTAGATGTGAGTAGGAGATCCTGTGAAATGTGCTGTGCTATCAGAAGAGAAGCTAAAATAGAGAACAGGTTGGATGTCTTTCAGATGTTTCAATTCATTAGATCAGATAGGTGACAATGGTAGGGTGTATGACAATAAGCTCGTCATCGAGCAAGTTTCCAAGTCTCCAGGAAACTACAGGCAGCCAGTGATAATCTATGTCACAGTCTTCAGATAGCGTTGTCCGCGTACAGCCGCTGTTAGCCGGTGTAAATACCCGACCACCCCAACTTGGCATACATTCAGATTTATCTCAACATCCACACTAGCAAAGCCGTTCCGGATCAAAGTTTTCTTGACGTTGCTGTTATAATACAGGTATCAGACTACTTAACTCTAAGCATTTTTAATTGGGAAAATCGGATTGGCTTCATTATCCCTATTCAAAATATAAGACAATCTTTCGTAAGGTTGCTCAAAACGAGAAATACTGCAATAAAACAATGACACAAAGCATTATTTACTAATTCTGATTTTATGCACAAATGAATTCTTCGAGTTGTGTTCGGGTAGTACTTACATAGTATGCGAACAAATATAATTGGGATGACTTCAGGTAAGAGAGAGAATGGGTGTATCGGGATTGGCAAGCTTAAGAAGTCGTGTTTTGTGCTTGTTCTTCGCTTTGTGAGTTCACCGTAAAGCTGTAGCTGCTTTATTAAGTTGCTATAGAAACGATGAAAGAGAAAATATAAGAAAAAAATGGAAAAGTCTGAGTAACAATTATATTCTTTCGCGACGGTAAAGGGATGATCTCAGCGGGCACCATTTAAAACTCCTTTATCATGCGTTATAGTACTATTTCAACTTTCCGCCTCGGTTATGAATAATAAATACTGATATAGAGCGTAATCTCAGTCTGAGCGCCTTTAGCGAAATGCATATTCTCCAGCTCCGTCGGGGAGCAGCTACTTATCAGCTCGCTGCTAAATTAAAGATAAAAAATATACTGTCACGTCCATTCTGAGTTGGCTTATTCAATTTCCATCTCCTATCCGTGGGGCGCAAGGCGCAGGCCGGGAGATATGTGGGACTAAGATGAAGACAGGCGTACACAGCAAATCCTCGCCGCATCTCCTGATCACGTTCTTAAAGGCCCGACTTGTGATCCGATTAACTCCACGGCGCCACCGTCGCAATCTCAGTAATGATAAAAATGGCAATAAAAATTAGGGATAATGGGACGGCGAAGAGAGGGGATTCGATTCCGGCCACGATGTCACCGAGAAAGTACCAGATAAGCGGGAATAAAATTAGGCGGAGATGATCGATTATAGAAACAAGCCTCGATTTGAATTTAAAATCATTTAAGTATTGACTTTGGATAAAGCTTTTCTCGCTCTTAGAGGGCTTATCCTTGGTAAGTGGAAAGTGCGGTTCTCATCGAATCCACTTACTACTCATGCCGCGTTGTTGCGGCAAGGGCACTTCTTTATACACTATAAGTTTCTTACCCCATTACCTCGCCGCTCGGGCGCTAACTCCAAAAACGAATTTGTTTCTTCGGATTTCCACAACTGATGAAGACAAACAAAATCGTATGTGTGTGTGTGTGTGTAAATATATGTGTATATGCGAGTCTCGATGTCGTATCGTAGATGCAAGCACTGTTTGCCGCGATGCAACTGGGGTTCAATTCAAGTCCTTTACAATAGGTCGACGCTATTCAATCTGTTTAAATCACCGTGAACACCTTGGAGGTGCAAATTAATCCCGAACACGGAACAAAAATATCACTGTTTAAACTTGAATGATTTCATGTAAATGAGGCGATGAAGTTACATCAACTGGATGCGAGGGGAGTGATGACGTATCCGACGTATTTGTTCCCCATCCCTTAAACTCACGTAATGCAAGCATGTGTTAATTGAAGGTGGTAACTCTACACTCGAAACGTTTAAAAACACCCTCGCTCTCTTACAAAAGCATAAGCGCAATCAAACGTTAGTTTCGCAGCGCTGATAACCCATCCTGCACGGGCTTTATTAAATGAAATAAGACGAATGCGCCGTTATCATTGATGACTGCCGCTGAACGGACTACTTTGGCAGCTTTCATTTTTGAGAATTAATTTCCTGTCAGCATTCTTTAAAAAGGGGAGACAAGCACAGTGCATCTGAGCTAACCGCATATTGTTTGCTCTGTAGCTAATAAGAAAAACTGTAACTGCCGTTACGGGACGCAGGGATGCCTATCACAAGTATATCTGTGCCGAGAAATTTAATTAAAATTCAATCAGAACGTAACGCGCTGGCATTTATCAGAGTGTTATCTCATTGGAGCTCTGCCTAAGAAAACATTTTAAAATAGTGAATTGTCAGTATCTGCAATGCCGCCGATAAAATTATGTGTCTTAAATGGAACAAGTAAAGTATGTTTACGAGATAAAACTGCTCCTTTTGGACATTTAGTCGTTGATGTCGGGCGAATATTAGGCGCTTTCATAATTGTAACATTTTATTACCTTAATTTCCTAGCCATTGATAAGGACCATTTCAAATCACTTTGTGAGCATCCACCTGCTCGACCCACCAGACGGATTAATGTTTTTCAGGAAACGGCAAAAAGCTTCCACTTTTAAATCATTAACCTTCATTTCCGTAATCATCAGTTCAATTAAATTCTAACTATTATTATGCATGATAATTTTTAATTATCCGCTCAAGTAATTTGTCCGATCGATATCTAAATTTTAGAGACGATTTTTCTTTAAAAACTTATGACTTATAAGTAAACGTAGACGTGACGAGAGAGTAATAATTGTTGTTTCGTATTATTCGAGGTTTTGTCTGTCGTTAAGTATTAGGTTATTGGGGCAGATAGTGTGGATTTTTATGTGTATCTGTTTTCTTTGGGCAGAAGAAGTCGAGCGAAATGAAAACGGCTTGGTGCTCTTGCTTGGCACATAGGCAACTCAGATAACGTCGCGGTAGCATATAAAGCTCACATACAAAATGAAATATGCTTGTCTTTGTCGCGGGTTCGCGCTAAAAGTGATATATGCAGTGGAGTATTATTTGCGGGGAGGTTAGACTTAGCTCGGGGTATCTTTTGCTATGTTTAATGGTTATTGCCGATTGCGCACCGCCGTATATGAGAGATTAACGTAGATAGGAAATAAAATATGAGGATGCTTAGGTTGGTGGAGTCCCCGACCTAGTCTTGTGGACGGCAAAGGCAAGAGGTTGTTCGAAACGCACCTGGTTTCGGTTTTGCCTAACGTTCCTGTATCAATCCAAAGATGCATGGCCTATAGAATCTTAATTAATTTCGAAGGCGTAATCTCGACCAATTAAATGGCAATTTCTTGGCAAACATAAAGGATTTTTGCGAGGAACGGCGAGGAACGAAACGGAACCGGGAAATACCGCCATAACTCATCTATCCTATAAGATTACTGATCTTTAATCCCCTTCCTTTCCCGCTCTTCTCTCTTTAGCGAGCCGCGCACTCCTAAAAGTTGAGATTTACGGCGTTCTTGGAATTATATTGTTGGCTTGCACAGCAGCGCGCGAACGCTGAACGCCGTTGCAGTTAGCTAGGAATTATTATGATATATCTAGACGAAATCGCTACCACCTAGTAAAAGGCATCATTAGATAGAGAGCAGTGAGCAGTGCCGTGCGAGCTTATCTTAGCGCTCCGACGGGGCAGCCGGCTGGCTACGAAGAACGGCTCATGCGGCATTACGTTAGATAGGGAGGATATAAAATATGGCGTCCTTTCATGAATCTTATTAAGATATCCGTAACACCCGACGATACCGAGTTATGCGCGCCGGAGAGAGACACGCGCTCGCGAACTTATGAAGAAAGGAGTAGGTGTATAATCCTTATAGCTACACCGCTATATATCATGCCTAAGTCCTGTAAGGAAAACAGGATAGATATTTATAAGTTACGAGCCTCTCTCGCGGACTGTTTATTTAACTCAATAATCGTTTATCACAATGATCAGCGCATCCCTGTTCCATTGTGATCCGTAATCCTCACTATCGTGCGTTTGCCACACCACGCCGTTTTTAGAAAATCAAAACTTAGAGGTCACTCCAACCCAGTAGCCCGATAGATAAGGAGGCGAACCCGACGAGTTCTTCACCTCACGTATATACACCAAAGCACCAAAGCTCCCACGTCACTAATAAAACTAATTACTGTCTAATGAGGATTTATAGAAACGCTTAAGTACTAGATGTCCCATAAATCGATATAAGGCGTCTTGGAAGCGTAAGAGGCAGTCAGCTACCGATAATCCGGACATCGCATAAATATGATCAAGTGTGAAGCTGGGGCCGTAAGTAGTAAGCCCGGCTTAGAGTTTGGCGTGTCCCCGGTGAGCAGCTGAGACGACAGACGGGCGCGAAAAACGATCGCCCGCCTAACTTTACTAAGTGACTGGATATTATAAGGTATGGCAAATTAAATGACCGCCTTTTGGAAGAAAGGAATCGAGGCAACGTGTTAAAGAAAGATGAACTCTGCGCTTATTTCACTTCTGCTTTTCAATACAAGCGTTCGTTCCGTTTTTTTTTTACTCTTGAAATTCAATTTCTTTTAAAAAGTACCATATAGTGCGCATATTTTGCTTGTTATTTTTACGTCGGTTAATATTCAGTTAATGACAAAAAATTTCTCACTCTTGCTCAAATCTCGTCGAAATTCGCCTACTCTAACTAAAGCTTTAGCCACCGTTGGCGTTTCTTATTGATTGTGAATTAAGATTATGGTCTACCTAAAAAAATTAAGACGCCTGAAGACGGATGGAGGTAAATGACAAGATGATAACATGGAAGGAAAACTAAAGGAGCAGCTCGGGATTCTCGAGGAGAGGTTTTAAATTTGGATGAGCTGAGCAACAGGTTAGCTAGGGAGGCCCGGCTCAGGATCAGCACTGCGGAAAAGATTAATTTCACGAAACCGTCGCTAACGGATAGCGAGTAGTGGTCGCCGCTCTAAAGACATGTAATTGGCCATTAAGGGTTATTTTATGCTCGACACGCTGCTGAAAGTGGTGTGTATGTGGTCAGATAGGCACCCCCAACTCCTTTGCCACAACTTCTAAGTATCCGGACGTTACTCGCTACGGTTTAGACTTTGTCGGTTATAATTAGTTGAAAGCGTAGTTCTCTTTGGTGGACCTTAAGATGTATTGACGCACCAGTATTAATTCCTTCTAAGTCAACTTCTTGAATGACCACACAAACCGCTTGTGTAAATGCCGATGACGATACCAATTAGCAGTATCATTCCTTGGTTCCTCACCTGAAAGAGGTAATACAGTGCGGCCTTTTAGCATTAGATTCCCCAGAGACTCCGACGCCCTTTGCGATACGGACACACAAAGATAATACCTCCCGACCGCCGGGGTGAACTGTATCCGCCTATCCGCGCTGTTTGCGGTTCGATTGAAATCATTCGAAAGCCACTCCACTTGTCATCCGCGACGTCCCACTCCACCACGCCAGATCAGGCTCTAGATAAAGCCGTATCGAAACAAGAGATTACACGTGCACCCGCTCTGACGACGTTCGCTTAAGAGGCTCCCAGGGGCTGACATGGATCAAAATACACATAAGTATTAGACCACTGAATGAAACAATATTCTTAAGTGGACCAAACTCCCGCGTCTTCCAACTTCACCAACAATTCTCATACACCAAATCCTATAAGGCACCTCTAAAATATTCACTACCGTGACCACAGCCTCCACGCAAGCCTAATATACCGTATTGGATCGAGCTAGTAATGAAAATTGAATTGCTGTATTATCCGGCTGACTGAGTGACTCCGGCATTAAGAAAGGTCCGAGATTTAGCTCCGGTCAATATAGGATTTTAAGAATTTAAATTTGCTGATTCTGAAATACTGCAAATTGCTCCGAATATATGCTAAAACCATCTAACCAATAAATCTAAAAAATCCCTTTTCACTTCACTACACGACTTACCTACACACGTGCTAGATCAATTTTACCGAATCTTAACACATAATTAACGGCTTTGTAAACTTGCATCCCTAAAGTAGCCGAAATGACTATAATTAAATGACGTCGTTCAAGGTAACTGCCAAACAACATAAAATTAATGTTTGCTTTAATCGATGCACGTAAAAAACAAACATATCTCAGAGCAACGTCACGACATTTACTCAAACATTTTTTGTTCAAACTGAACAAAACCTTCATTGCTCTGTGACAGTTTTTACCACAATATTTATCATAAATTTTATGACGTACACCGTCTGTTTTACTCAATATATTCACAGCAGTAATGATCTTTGTAGTTGTCAAGGTAACTTTATTTTTATAAAAGCAAAAAGCGCACAAACAGAAATGACCCACTTACAGAAATGCAAAGAGTACACCTCTACTTGATATTTATTATACGTGTTACAAATGATTGCTAACAACTCGTAACCTGTTTTATAACTCGTATCAATTAAAACAAGCGATTATTTCACAAAGGTTCAAAAACTATCATTGTGAAGGTCAGTAATGTCATGACAGTAGGAGGTATACATTAAAATCAATAAATTTTAGTCAACCAGGATTGTATTGCTTTTTAGTTCAAAACCACCACTGATATGGAAAAGGAAAGTCTTAATGCTTTGTTTAGATAATTAAGCTTGATGTAGAGCAAAATCAATTGAAAAGAGAAGTACAGTACCGCACTACCATCACACCGCGTTTATCCAATTAATAATACCGTTGTTGTGCTAGAGGCTAAATGTAACCATTATTTTAATATCTTGTGGTAATGAATTATTTTATATTTCTTTTTCACAACACAACTATATATAAGACAAAAATTACCAAAAAAAAAAAAAACAAATTTCAATAGGTAGTTGGCAGGTTACGAAACGACCCCATATAAACTTCACTCAAATTAATGACCACTTTGTCATTACTTGCTATGCATGAATTAAAGAGAAATTCAAGGTTCTTTGATCAGGGTTTGCAACTATGCTATATTACGCTTAAATTAGACAAAGTGATTAATTCGTTTCACTGTTTGTTAACTGGTTTATTACCGACTATTTGCGGTGGGTAAAAAAATAGCAAAGCAGAATGTAACTATTATGTGAAATCTTTCCTAAATGAATTCATTTTCAACTATCATTTTTTATACAAATGCAAAGATCAACTATATTTTTCTTAAATGATACAGTCGTCAGAAGCTAAATTTGGTGTCTCCTGTTTTGTTCACCAGAAAACTCAGGCTTCTGATGCTTAATGTAGTCCAATGGAGAGGATACTTTGCATCCATACGTCATTACATTTTTTCCAGAAGCCAGTCGCTCAATAGTTAGAATGTCTCTTTTATGGCCACCCCAAAGCTACCGTATCATGAGCTACATCTTCACGGTGTCCAGGTATGCACTTACGTACCATGATATCTAGCATATATTTTAAGACCGACATTCTTTTGGCCAGGCTCATACTAACTTCTTATCAGCACCATTAGAAATGGCTACACACGATGATGACCCTTCGTGTCAGATTCAAAATTCGTCCTCAGTAGTAGACTATGTCTGACCGAACGACTAAGTTGCTGTCTCCAGTGATAATTATATCAGTTGTTATAATTACTGTAATTAATTACAACACCATCAATATCACTTTTTGAAAGCAATATTTTTTGTATTCATTAGTTATGGTTTCTACTCGTCGGCCACTATCTGTAATTAGTGGCAAAAACTTTGGTAATTAAACTATTTACACAAATAATTATTCGCAAAATCCATTGTTTTAATAAAACGAAAAATAACGACTCAATTTTGAGTCATATTCCATTAGTCACATCCTGGGTTGACCTTATCAGGTTTCAAGAAATTTAATTTTAGGTTGGTATCTGTGCTTGTAAATTTAATCTATTTGTTTAGATTAGATTTGTAATACAATACCAGGTGTATTGACCGCCATTAGTAATACAGCACACTACTATCAGTTTAAAAATAGCGTTCACATTTTTTATCAGATCCATTCTTTGTTTTTCTTTTATACCTAGGTGAAACAACATAATTTCTAAAATTTGCAAAAAAGTCAAAGTATGAAATCTGATCATGTTGGCAAAAACTTCTAGAATATGAAAATGTGGATCTCCCGTTACCGTTTGTTTGTCCTCTGTCCGTCGTATACCGTCTGTTGACGATTAATTTCTGAAAATTTAATGTGGAAAATACCAAACCAATTACTCTGAAATCTTGCCAATTCTTTAAGGTTATCGTAAATAGTAAATCGTTTTTAACTTTTCACACAAATGTAATAACCTTACAGCGTCGCAATAACAACTTATTTTAACATAATTAAACGAAACTGTAGGCTGGAAGTTGCTCTATAGGACTGGTTTCTCCTTTTGACATTAGCTTTATGAAGAAATATGTTTTTTATAACACACAGTCATCACTATTCATGTACACACTTCTAACGGAATTGAGGCAGTGGGTAATACTATAATATATAATAATAATATTAAAAATAATAATAATAATAATAGTTTGTGCAAATACACCTTTGTTTATGTTACATCATACACCAGTTTTTGTGTTGATAATGATCTAAACAAGTATTTTAGAATGAGAGTAATAAATAAACAACTAAAACATTCAAGTTGTAGTCCATCACATTAATTCTGCTGGGAAGACGAACGAGGCAGGAACAGCATCAATTTAGACATTTCACAAAGAAATCTCTACCAGTGCCCGATTTCAAACACATAATTTAAATCTGAATGCGCTGCATTATGCTACCTTGCAACAATTCTCGCTAAAGATGACTAACTTCAAATAAGTTACATAATAGTGAAACATAGCTTATTAAATTTTTGGAGAACGGGAATTCCATGCTTATGCAATAATATATGCTTGAAAAAAATCAAAGGAAGTTCTGCCTTACCTATAACTGATACGTTTTGAATTTGATTTTATCATGTGAGCTCACCTCCACTAATAACACAAAAATTTACCAACACTTATTTATTTATCAAAGAAGGGCCTACAGTGTTACAAATGAAAAATTGCGAAATTTATGATTGATAAAAGTTTAGTATAATAAATTGCCTAACACCTTGTAGTAACAACATTCTATGAAAAAGTAGCTTTTCCCTTATCTTTAAAACAATTCGTTATCACTGTAATCATGTTGACTCAGTTTAGATATGCTCTTCCAACCTTCATCCATACTAGAAACCTGGACTGTAGATATAGTAGAATGGTGATCAGTGCATTTAACATTTTAACAACACAAAAATTATGCATATAAACAATTAGTACTGACTTTGTGGTACCGAGCCGTAATGACTAGTGTAAAACTTAATTCCGTCTAAATTTTCCTTTAGTATGACGTTAAAGGGTGTAGTGTTGTGTACCATATATCTCCTGTCGGTTACCACCTGTTTTTACACAACTCCACAATGTGCAAGAGGATGCATTTGTTCACTAAATTTCACAGATTGTAAATATAACCACTTTGAGGAACTTCCCCAAGGACTTGATCCGAATGTAAGTACCCTCTTTTGAGTTTATTCAACCTTTTGTTCTATTTATCAAACACTAACGTTATATAAGCCATTTCGAAACGTCAAATTCAAAATAAAATTTATCTAATCACAAAAACTGAGACAGGTGAATCGTATTCTTCCTTAACCGTGTTTACAGTGTTCACAAAACTTCAACGACTTACCACTAGATGGCTTATCTGTCTTAATCTACTTTTATTAAGGATAACAGGTACTAGAACGCTGACGCAAAACTTAAATTGATGTATAAATTACTTGTATTAATGTGACTTGACGTTTTATAATAACAAAAAAATGATGTAAATTTCCTTATCAAAAATTAATAATTCACAACCTTAAAAACATTAACGTAACGATCAAGGTATAATTATTAAAAAAACTTGCAAATTAACACAAAGTCGCCAATTTAGTTTCAATAATTTTATTGAGAGTTATTAGTATGATTTTTTGTAGCAGGAAATCTTGGCATTTCGTTTCATAAATAAAACGAGATTAATTTGTTTTGATTTAGCAAAACTTAATAATAACATTGTTAACAGAACTAAGACGCCAAAATAGTAATTAATTTTTTTAGTACATACTGTATTCTACTACTATTAAACAAAAAAAAAAAACACTGTTAGAATACATTATAATAAGCATTTACGAGTAAAAACTTAATAATGACGCAAATTTTGTTTATAACTATTTTTAAACTTGAATTACGGTATCATGCAAATTTAATGAGTTACATAGTTTGGATTGTAACCTTAGTCTTACTTATCTAATTAAGAAAGATGAGTGACAAAAAGAGTTGCTTACATTACCAAATATTGTTTCCATCCTGTCAATTATATTTTGCGTGAATGATTCCCACTGGCAAACCTATTATGATGAATAGAGACGATCGTTTACAATAGATTTAACAAGGTTTTCGCTAGTAGGGCAGCCATATTTTTTTAAAAGAGTTTCAAAGTATTTAAATATAACAACAATAACACTGTGCTAACATTATACTTACTTACACTTTTGTTTTTAAAATTTATTGTATATAAGGTGTCCCTTTCTATAATCAAACTTTTTAACAAAAAAAAATGAATCATTGTTAAAGTACGTTCAATTGCTTTAAATTAAGATAATTTAAAAGCTCCACCACGCAACTGACACTTGTTGATAAAATTTAAAAACACTGCGACATAAAAATGGAATCAGAGTTGGCTACAATTTTATAACTGTCACTGGCACCGTAAATGTCATATCTAGCTAAAAAAACCAAATATAATTAAAAATAATGTTTCAATAAAAATGTAAAAACTATGAATTTTAGAAAACAAGAAAAACTCAAGGATCATTCCGGCAAAAAAAAACAGTTCTAATCTTACCTTTCGAAAATTTTTAGCAAAAACTTCAATAACAGTAAATATTTTCCGTAATTTATTTACAAATTATCTTGCTGCCAATTAACCTACACTTTTTTATGTCAAATAAAAACTGTACACATATTAATTAAAAGTTAATTTTGTTGACAACTATTTGATTAGGAATTCGAATTAATTATCATCTAAAACAGGATCTGCCATCCGAACGAAAGTTATCATCTGATATCAAGTTAATTTTTCGCCAGCTGCTTAAATGAAAGTCTCAAAATTTTCTGTGGGCTGACCAGTTTATAAATTACAATTAAAAGTAATTGTGCTTTTGCCAAAACCTCCTCACCAAGAGTGGTTTCACAATTTAATTTATCATTAATTTTTAAACTTTACGGACAAATTTATTGCGACTTTCACTCAGGCGAAATTATTTTAGGAATTATATTAATGAATTTATGTTTGCAGGTAACTGTTTTGGATCTGGCTTACAATGAATTCAAAGAGTCTCCCTCGCAGTTAAGGAATTATCCGACTCTAGTAAATTTAAATCTGTCGCATAACCAAATACAGACTCTTGGAGCAAGAGCTTTCTACAACCTAAGGAATTTGAAGCTACTGGATTTGACGCACAATATGCTCAGTAACTGGGGGGATATAGGATCAAATGCGTTTGCTTCGACGAAACAACTGACGTTTTTGGATTTTTCCCACAATCCGCTTCGAAGTTTACCCAGAGAGAAGAATCCACTACATATACCTTCTTTGGAAATACTTCGTTTGAACAATTGCTCCATCGAAAACTTAAACAGCAAAATTATCGAGAAGTTGCCAAATCTCCAAGAACTACATCTTTCGGAAAACCCCATCAAATTTCTACAAGCGGATTTTGTGTCGCACAGTTTGAAGTTCTTAGACTTGAGTAGGTGTAACCTCCAAGATATTAGCACGACAGTTTTTAGGAATCTATCGTCTTTGCAAACAATCTACATGCAGCAGAATATCAATTTGAAGAAATTTTATTGTGACTCTCCGAGTCTGCTCTATTTAGACTTGTCGGACTGCAACCTTGAGATAATTCCCAGTGGTAACCTCCCCAACGTGTACGAAGCTAACTTCCACGGAAACCACTTCCGAATGATCCCGAAATTCAGCTTCAAAAATTACACGAACCTAAAAATGTTGGACTTGTCGTACAACGCAATATCTTCAATTGAGGAAAACGCTTTCTATGGCCTCGACTACATACAGCGAATTGACTTGTCCCAAAACACTTTATCAGACCTAAATCGCGACTTATTTGATACAAACCGGGAGCTAAAATTTCTAAATATGTCTAGAAACTACTTCAGCGAACTAGAAAACCTGATCAGCGACTCGTTGGAGATTTTAGATCTGAGTTTGTGCGAAATCCACTCGATTGATTTCGACTCTTTGATCGACATGCCACGACTGAAAATCTTGAATTTGTCCAAAAACATAATTTCGCTTCTACCCAATGACTGGCAGGCTGGTAGTCTGTTAAGTCTGGACGTCAGCTTGTGTCGCATCAAAAACGTCAACAACCGTACTTTTGCGTCAATGCCGTCGCTCCGTCAGGTTAACCTCGCGGGTAACCGCCTCACCTCCGCAGCCCCCGAGGCTTTCGGGCAAGTGATTTCCATAGACATTTCGGACAACCCTTGGAGGTGCGACTGCCCCAGCCTCAAACCTCTGTACCAATGGTTGTCCAAAACCGGCAAACGCATGGACCGGCTGTACTGTCAGTCCCCCGAAATGCACGAAGGCAAGCCGTGGTTGTCAGCATGTCAGAAAGAGTGGCATCCTGAGCTAACCCGAAACGACTCGATATGGTGGTACACGACCGGCTTAATTGTCACCGTGTTTGTAATTTTATTTGTCATTCTCGCCATGCGGAGAATGTACTTGTTAAAAGAGAAACGCATCAGAGAGGCCGAAGCGGCCCGGAGGACCGAAGAGAGGGAGACCTTGCGTCGCATGCAACGCGTGCAAGCAGAAGCTCGCGAAGAAGCCAGCAGAAACGCTCCGGATCCCCGGGAACTGCAAACGCCGCCTTCGTACAATGAAGCCTTGTTATTGCCAAGATTGGACTCGTCGCATCCGAGTTTGTCGGGGAGCTTGCACAGCATCGTTTCCAAACATAGCATCACGGGCAGTAATCCTGACGTTTCGAAAAGAGGTAGACCTAGGCGAAAGCGGAGAAGAAGGAAATCGGATTCTTCCGAAGGTCAACGTGCGTCTCGGGTCGTCGTTGACTCTGACACTACTTCAGACCCTGAACGACCACAACCTCGCACAACGTTAGAAAGTGATTTTTAAATGCTCACTTGACTGATATTCAATTTATGTCTAATCGGAAAGTAGGACTTGACTGTCAGTCAAATTTAGCTAGTCTGAGTAACCGCACGCTTATCATTTCTAGCTGGGCAGGGATTATCATAATTTGTCACTTGATCGGAAAATGCGATCTTAGATGCGACTTTCAGGACAAACATCCTATATATTTATGACATAAGACAGTATTTTCTTCAACTAGACACTAACGTATCGAAAGTACAAGCTTGTAACGCAACCAATAAAAACGTTTTTAGGTTAAAGTCTACATTTTTACTTTCAATGCTGGTTACTTTTCAGAAGTCTGCAAGTTGATAGTGATCTGGGACAATTTGCTGCTTCACCTCTGCGCAATTTTTCAACATCAATCCTAACATTTCATGCCATGACTCATCGAGTTTCGTTTTCACATACGTCAGTTTCTACATCAAAATTACATATTTACCTTTTGTAACGATTTTGTAACTCAATAAAAACGCGCTTGATAAAAGTGAAACCGATCTTCAAGGAGAGCTAAGAAGCAAAGAAATCAAATATGTAAATGGGTTGATAAAAATTCCGAATAAATATTCCGCTGCCAGGTTTGACGTCACGTTCAATTGTAGGTTGTTCCCAACATTCAATATAAATAATTCCTGAAAAACAAACGCGAAAAAACTCGTTTTAAAAATCGCACGTGGGGTGTGACCGGCACGTCAGTGCTGACGAAAAAATAAAACAAATCACTAGATTCGCGAGAAACTGTTAGCAGTTAGATTAACGAAGCGTTAAATATGCAGGATAATATGGCAATCATTTTATTGATAAATCCGGAAACATAATCGTTTTACAGAAGCAAATCACTTCATTAGCCACGTGAAGTCTTGTTAGGTAAAAAGAGGAATTCGTATCAAGGTTTTTCACTGTAACGAATGGTAAAAACAATTTAGGAATTACCGCCAACTGATCAAGCGGAAAATTAGTAACGTATAGTCCACCCTTCATATTGCGGTACTAGTACTAGTTTTTAAATAACAATCGTAACAATAATAGTTGTTACTTTCAACGGAATATTTATCTACGCAGGTAATTATTTCAACGTCTGGCCATCATCATGATTATTTTGACAGAATTAAAAACAAACAATATTCACCTTCGTGAAAATGATAGTAGTTGCAATATTATTTACTAATGAATAAGCATGAATAAGCAAATTGATATCAAACGTTTTAGTACACTGGCATTCAAAATTTGTTTAAAAACGCATTTGTTATAATATTGTATACCAATGTTTTAAGCATACCAAACCAGAATGCGACATTAAAAATAAATTCAAGTTTAATTATATGGTACAATTCTCAAGAACGTCAGCCAGTTTCAATTTAATCACATTTATATATATGTATTCACGGTTCGTTAATTTTGATAGTTTCCGTTCGATATTTTTCAATCACGACTAATTAAAACAAAGTAAATAAATACATATTTGTTTTATTCTGAAATTATTAAAATACTGTTCATAATATTTTCACAATTATAATGTTGCAACAGTGCCGCCAATATATATTACCTCTACTGGGTTCGCGTCAAGTTTAATCGACTAGATAATCTTAGTTACCCAGCTGCAAAAACGTCATGATTCTACGAATATAATCACTACTAACAGTACAGGAATTGTGAATACTTCAAAAACGAGAATTAGTGTTTCAATTAAAACCCAAAAAGGACAAAATATAAAAACCACGCATACGACCAACATTCCCAATCAAACGTAAACAAATTGTTAAACGGAGACAATTATATTTAGCCATGATTTTTTTGTACCTAACCACATACTATTACTCCAACAGCTTTAACTCACTATATTGCAAACAATTACCAATCATGTTAATTTACACAATAATGTAATTAAATTAAATAGTACAATGTTGTCACCAATGAGCGGTGAAAAATATACCTTTTGAGTGAGAAACTCAGCGGTGCTTGGCATTTGACGGCGGAGCTTCAGCTATTTCCATTCAACCTTCAGTATATACTTGTTTCTTGACAAAGCCCAAGTGTTCATAACATTCCACTTTTCAGTAATTATTATTTGTGTAAGCCACGCGGATAGACTGCGACGTTTACCTGGGCGACTGCCCAACGTATATTGTGTGGCGATCACTAGTTAGTTATCACTGAAATAACTGTAGCAAAAAGCAGCCTGATTAATAATTTACGTCAACCCACCACGTATGCATACATAATTTCGGTCGCATTCGATGCTACCTAACAATGTCATTAATGCAATTTTTTAGATAACAACCCACAAATAAGTACTTATTGTTGCAGTTTTACAACGCTTTTGTGGCAAGTAAAAGTCAGTAAACCGAAAAACCGTTTCACTGCGATTATAACCTACAAGCTACGAATGTGCGTTTCTTTTATAATACTTCACTAACGCAGCAACCGACAACTTATTAGCTACAAGGTTTGGAATATCATTTTTAACAAAGTTAAAGTCACATTAATGCATACTTTTGGGGTATTTTCGTTGTCACATTTCTATTTTTCTCCACGTACGCCTTCCAAGTTAAGACTGCCTACAGTGAATTTAAATAAGACACGACGGTCGACGCAGATATGTCTGCAATTCCGGATTCCGTAATTGCACGTGAGGTACATCTGCGCAGTTTGCTATTACCCATGAAAACACGTTTCCAGTAAAATCATCCACCGGGAGACTCGGACGGTTGATGCGACCGGTGTCACTCGACTCTGGAAGCTCTTCGTAGCAAACGCGGGACTAAAAATAAACATTGCTTACGAAAATATAGTCAATAAAAATATTTTTCTTGGACAAATGGGCGTTTAACAAAAATGTCAACACAGAAATAAAAGTATGATGGATTGCCATGACGGCAAAGCAGAAACTTGTTCACATTCTTTAAATAACAATCGAGTAATTGCTTGTAAATCATTCTTCAAACACGATACAGTTGGAATCGAGAACACCAGAGCAGCGTAGTTTATCCTTTTGTTTTTTTTTTTTTTGCAGGACTGAGCTCTCATTATGCGTTATTACTTCATTTATGACATACCGCCATTAAAATCTTGCAATTCTAGGAAAACTCATCTTTCGTAAATGTCATTTTTTGTAATTCAGAGATGTGGAAGGGTCAATGTCTAGAAACTGCGGCCACATTAAAGACCTTCGTTAATATTCTGAGATTAGCTGCAAGTAGTCAGATAGAGGACAGAGCCCTTTAAATATTCAATACATAAAATCTCGATGTGCGCGTGATGTGCTTGTTATAGGAAGCACTAAATTTTTGTAATACAATATTTAAAAACGATTTTTTCGATTCAGTAATATATTCAAAAGAACAGTTGGAACGTGTTCGATGAACTTCCACAAATGGAACTAACACCAAAATAATTTCTACTTTCAAGGTCAATGCTAGAAGAAATTAAAAATATATTCAGGCAGTCTCACGACTTGGCTAAAAATAACTGCTCATGGCTACATACAAGTCGAAGATTTTAATTTATGCAAAATTATTATATAAGACGAAACTAGGCCAGAAAACTTGTTTTAGTCACGTATTGTTGTACGGTTATAAAACGGGCAATGCACTTAAAACGCCATTTTTGTAAAAAAATATCTTTTAGCCTATTTATGGTAATGTAGTTCCTACGCGATAGCATTAGTTTTATTACTTTTAAAACAGATACCGTTTTATGGTATATAAAACCCAAGCGAACAGATCCTGGTCTGTCTTTGCATTTTCTTTTCAGACTGATTAATGTCGGAACAATTAGAATTAATTAACTTACCCAGTCGGCTAATTAATTGAAGTTGATGAACCACTTTGACGAATTTTAATAACAGTTTCGCTTAACTCAAAGCAAATCTTTTCTAGATTGCAAAGTCGGACGGAACTTAATAGCTTAATCAGCGCGACGGGAACATAAAAAATACACTTAAAATATGTTTTACATGTTGATTTAGACACACAACACCAGGTTGTTTATTTTTTGTTTGAACAACTACATCGCGTCGTTTATTAGTTTTAATCCAGACTGCTTAATTAGGAAAAGGTTGTTGATACTCAGGAAACAGCTCGAACGTGGTATAGGTCAGGAGTCTTGAGCCTAATAATAATTATAACATTACGACATAAGCGTAACAATAGCGCAATGTAAATTAAATTAAATTTTGCTCACTTAGTGTGATCATATTCACAGTCAAGTCCAAGTCGATAAAAATAAATCATCGTGTAGTGAGTTTTCTTAACTAAGGTTGTCTAAAGGTTGCATTACAGCAATAGGAACCCAATTTTTGTAACTTTTTAATCAAATGAATCACAATTATTTTATCGACGGACGTTGTCGCTATCGCAAGGTCAAATGTATTAGGAGATTAGATTTTGCTTCAAGGTTCGAAGGTGTGCTATGTATAAACTGATTTCTTTAGAGAAAAACCATGTTGAGGAAATTTTGATTACTTTTTAACGTTAGTGTTCAAGGTATATTAAATAATGTTGTGGCTTTGTGTGGGCATCTATGTACAAACCGACCATGATCTACAAGCAGCATTGACATTTCTTTCACCCATAAATATTCTTGCGCAAAATTTGGGTGTTACTTTCGCGATGTTTCTCCTCTTATTTTGTTCTTTTTGACTTTGTACATTGTTAATGTTCAGCCGCTGTAAAGGCAATCCATTTTCACACTATTAACGAAAGCAAAACCTGTTTGAAAATCCAATAAAGCGGTACCTATTATGTCAGAGGTCAACAGCAAACCGTTAAATAAGATTGAAAATGAGATTTATTGTCACTCGGAGATTTTCTGTTAATAAATTTTAAATTAAAAATGCTGGATGGTTGTTATTTATAGCTTCCAAGTAGTGTTACGGTATTTTATTTACTTTATCCTGTATAGTATTACTCTGAATTGTCAGGTGCCTATTGGTATGCAAGTCAATCCTCCATGATTCACACACTGCATCAAAAAACTTTCCTGTCGACGTATTATATTACGCAATTTGTCACATTGTCATCTCGGAACATTCCGTCCATAAGCTACAATGTTCTCAAAAAATGTTGATTGTCCACTTCTCATCAATAACGTGTCAGAATAAGAAAATTTATAGACACATTCATAGCTGAGAATATAACCCAGACGTTCGCGAAGTGTAGAACTTTGACATTTGGGTTATCCAGCAGAAAATTTGCATTTTGCAAGGTGTAATCTGGGCTTTGCTAACACGAAAAAAATGCGATCGTCTGACATGAAACAG